AATTTTCATTCCGATAAAACAACGAACACGCGCATTTAGACGTATATACAATTAATAGGGAACATTAATTTCTTAGCATACGATAAGCCATGAATGGTAAACCTCGTGACGATGATTGTCGACAAAGCATATTTCTTCTCCCCTAAAAGGCGTTTATGCTAATGTTATTATACGTAACACGTAATAGTTTCTTACGGTTAACGGAAAGGAACTATTAGCTAGGAAATTTAAAGCGGAAGTGCGTGCCGAAGGAACACCGTGTTACGGTTAAGGATATACGTATAAATACTTCTAGCACGCGATCCTGATTCAAATGTTACCTTTAGACATACTTGAATTTCATTTAATACTTATTACACGTGATCAAGGTCAGTTTTCTATTTCCATCCGTGAAATATAATTTAATTTAAAAAAAAAAAATAAAAAAGAAATATTTGTGTACTTATAATAGATTCAACTGAAGAAATAAATTTCTTATGACGGTGATTATATAACGTAACTCATGTTTACGGATGAAGAAGCATTTCTTAAAGCGCATACAGTCAATAAAAGATGTTTCTTTTATCTATTCCTCGAAAGCGACCCTGAAATACGCTATGACTCAAATGAAACGTTATGAGAGAATGAACGATCTATTAAGTTTATATACAATACGTACATACATAATAATTCTTTACATTGTTCGCGATAAACTTCAATTATTCTCACTAATTATATATTTTTAATATTTCCATATAATTAACTACCTGTCAACATGGGTACTTTTGTCATAAACATATACACATGGATGAATTCTTAAACATAATACAATAATTATATGATATTAAATATACCTGTATGTATGACACACACTTAAAATAATGATCAGCATTATTATAAATAAAAGAAAATAATAAGCATTTCCTTCAAGATAAAGTATATTTTCAGTTATGTTTAAATTATTAATAATATGTATATCAAAGATATTTCCGATGATGCAAAGCGAGTGTGGTATTTCCACTTCTTATCTTTTATTTAGAATAAAAATATTGTTTTTTTTTAACAATAGGTCATAGAAAATATCGTATTCTCGGTAAACTTATCTTCTCGGATAAAGGTTAGGGTAAAATGTAATTGTAAAGTTGTTCTAGGGCAACGAACAGAGATGATGATGAAATGATTCGATTTCTCGAGGAAAGATCGGAAACAAGTTAACGAAAAAAGATAAATTTTCAACCGCGGTCGATGGTTTCATCGGACGACCGAAAATATCCGAACGAGGAGGTTTCTCTCTCGGGCAACGACAATTGAGTCAATTTAGAGAGCGGTTTTGATAGGTCGCCTGACATGAGAGCGCGTTACACGGCAGGTGTTCTGAAATATTACGCCCGCGTGCTACGCCAATTATCCTTGACGTCCCACCCGAAAGACGTAATGGACGATTACCACCAACACCAAATCGCGAAGTTTTTTTTTTATTTTTTCCTATTTTAAACAAAGTTCTGGAAAAACAATGCAAAGACCATAACCGATGTATTTTCTAATCCAGGAATGTGAATTTCTTTAGCCACGTCAGACGACTTAAGAAAATCTACAACTAATAATATTATACACACATATAGTTACAAGACTAAAACGGTTTTCCAAATATGTAATAAAGAGTTATAATGATATTAATTTACTTACGAATCTTTCTTTTACTAAATTAGACAAGATGATGATCATTCGGTGTTTGATCTGATACTGGTACTTTATCGTATTCGGCGATACTTATCAATAAACAGACGGGGCGACCCTAATGTTTAGAACGACGTACACAAACAAAATATATTTATATCATATTTTACGATCTTTGAGTGTATTAAATTTATATGTATTTTGGGTCTTCCCCGATAATAAAAAGTTAAACACATACTTATTAAGAATACAAAAAATACCCTGGCAGGTTTCTTAAAATATTTTCGTTGTTATGATTATTTGTGTTTGTGATTGTATCAGTTTCATAAAATCGTATTTTGCGGGTAATATATATATCGGAGTAGGTGTTGAAATTGAACATAAGTTTACAAAACAAAACGATAGAAGCAGTAAGTATTTCAGAAACAGTTTTTTATTTTTGTACTCTAAATTTATTCATATTTATTCATATAATATATACATATATTATTATATATGTATTGAAAATCTCTCTCTTTTTAATAAAATTAAATTTTATTCTAATATTGATCGTATATTTTGATGTAGAATCCTATCAAGATGTCAAAGATCACCCTTCTCTTATTCGTCGTCGCATTAACATTATGCATCGCAGTTCAATTTATCTCGGCTGCACCAACCTTGCAAGAGAATGAAGAAGGACAATTGGCTGGATGTGGTCATCAGGCTGCTCCGGTAATTATTTTCATTAATAATTTCATTACTAATGTACATTTTGAACGTTTTTTACCATGATAGAAAATTTGTATTCCATTCATCACTCTTCGCGGTCAATTTATTTTAAAATCGAACACAAGCGAGATCGTGCCGTTTTTTTTTTTAATTTCGTAAATATTTGAACAAACTCGTATTTATTCAATTACACTTTATTTCCTCGATCGAGTCACCGCTGTTTACGAGGTAAACGTTGGAACAAATAGGAAGTAATGAATATGTTCTCTGAAATCAGTAAAGCTACAAATAGTGATAAGAAAATTCGTCTAAAATTATTGTTATTTTGAACGTTATAGTGTAACAAGAATTCAGACTGCTGCTTCTACTTGAAGTGTGACAAATACGCAAAATTGTGCTACCCTTAAAATGGACAAATCGAAAAAAAAGTACTTGGTATATAGATTAACTTAATACTATTACTAATACATTATTAATATCGTTATAGATTTATTTAAGTTTATAGATGCTACATTTATTATTATAAAAATGTAAAATAAAGTTATATATATGAAATTAATTACGAGCTTGTTTCATTTAATCTTATAATTATTTTCATTTTTAAAAAATTAATTATTTCGTGATATTTTTATATCATTATGCTAATACAGTGTATAGAAATATATACTTTTGATTCCGCCTGCTAATATTAATTACGAACTCGCTTCATTTAACTTTACAATTATTTCGTTCTTTTTATTTTGTTAATATTTATTTCTCTATATTAATATAGTATATCAAATTATACGCTTTTGATTCAGCTTGTTTAAACCTCGCCGAAAGAATTTTAACAAAGCTGATCAAATTAGGAATAACAATATTAAATCACAATGAAAAGATTTTTAAAATGATGATTGGCTCATCTAAGTAGGTCAATATCCCATTTACCAATGTACGAGTCACGATTAAAATCTTATCTCATACGATATGTTTACCGATGATATCAATACTTGTAATTGTGCTTTATATTTTTTCGTTAAAATACGTTAACATTATAAACGTCCGAATTAGGTTTAATATAAGATTTGTTAATATTTTCAATTTAGATGAAAGTTTAAAAAAACAATAAAATACACGATGAAAGAGCCACAAAATGAAAATTATCTCATTAACACAATGAAATGAATTTAAGAGACTTTTACTATATTATCCCTATTTATCTGATCGACGATGTATAATTCTGACTATTACGACGTAAATGAAAATAAATAGCACAAATATCATTAAACACGTTTAAATAATCAATCGGAATATCTGTGTTTCATGTAATCCGACAATCGCAAGAGTCACATTTAAATCAATGCAATAATATTTACTTGGTATATGTGTATGCATTCGATAGAATAAATTTTCATTTAAATGTATAAATTAGAACATCATCATACTAATCATTTATACGTATCATTAAATATAATTAATGACGTTTTAAATATGTAATACTTATATCGATCAACAATGAGATATATACAATTATTATATATTGATATTCGAATGTATTATTGTAGAATACTTCGGCGAATGTATGAACAACGTAAAAAAATTGTTATTATTCTTCAATCCAAAATAACATTGCTTCACGATACGAGGAACGCAATCTCAATAATACCATTTATGATTCAACATTACCCATTTATTTTTTTTTCGCACAATATGTGAAAATATTTTCGATTCCATGCTATCATCGAGTAAAGTAAATGAACAAATACTCTATAAGCCCAAGATCTTATCTAATCGAAAGATATAAATAAGATTAAATTATTCTATTTTTTTCTTTTAATAAAATTACTTATTCGAAATATATATATATAATTATAATAACCCATATATATCACATTGATTACATCGAAATTACTTAAAATATGGAGAAAATAATGTTCTATTGAGTTAACGTAAATACAAAGCAAGTTTATTATTCCATTTAACTGATAATAAATTAGATAGAAATAGTACGAGATATCGTCTATTTACTTCGCAATCACGTTTATTTTAATTTTTGAATATATGTACATATATCTGCACAGCTGGAAAAATTCGCCGATCAATAATCTCTTTGGATATTTTATTATTTTCTTTCTTTTGTTTGAATACATATATTCACATAACATACTATATATATATCAAATAATGTCCACTAACCAACTGAAATATTTGCATTTCCTATAAAAAAAAAAATGGAAGTAATCTTTGGAAATAACGTCATCATTTTTTATTTAATAATCAGATCATCGACGAACAAACATCGCACAAATCTTATCAAATTATCAAGATGAATGGAATTTCAAGATTAGTCTTGTTATTTCTGCGAGTGAAACGCAACAGGGGGTAATTTACGTGAAAAAATGAGCGCTCTGTTTATAAAGCTTTATATAATATGTTGATACTACAAGTGTATGATATTTTACGATCGATGAACCTTGATATGGACGATAATACTGTAAAAATAATAGTACAGAAAATAAGATTTTTTTCTTTTCTATTAAAGATTTCCAGGTAATGCCGCGTGTCAGTGAATAAAAAATATTTTATCTTATTGTTAGATTGTTTACATGAACACACTTTCCTATAAATATGCCATTCTAACGCTAAATGAAATCAGAAATCTTTTGACATACTTCCAAGTAAAATCTTAAAGGTAAGATAAAGTATAACATATATTATTACACATTACTTATACTAATTATTTATCTAATGTAAGACAATATTCCAAGTTTTTGATCATTTTTTTTTAAGTTTCTTTTTCTTTTTGTTTCATTTTTTTACAGAAAATCGTCTAAAAAATAAAATGGCTAAGCTTTTATTGTTTCTTTCCCTAACTCTTTTGGCGTTTACTTATGTCATGGCTTGTTCACCACCAGGTATGCCTGTAAGTATCGTTTTATTCATGAAATAAAATTGTAATAATAAGTTATATATTAAAGAGAAAGGAACGTCAATTGATCAGTTAACGAAACTGTAAAATATTCTATAATATACGACTGTTATAAAACCACCATTGATTTTAGTTGTTTTATTAATAAACTTTTCGTTTCACTTTTTACAGTGTACCGATAATAGTCAATGTTGTGCCCCATACGTATGCAATCCTTGGGCTAATCGTTGCACAAAAGGTGGAAGCTGGCCACCACCAGGGGCTAACACTGAGCCCAGCGAATGATTAACATGAGCTATTTGGCATATTTACATTATTTCGTAGGCCTACGATCAAATGTACACTTTTTCCTAATTCATCGTATATGATGATTTCTGTAACTTCTTATTATTTGCTTCAAAAATACATATGCATTATTAAAATTAACTTCTTTAGTTTTATTTTTTTAATCAACCTATTCACACACACACATACATCGTACACTTCGTCGATATATAATCCAATATAAAATATTTATTTCTTTAGATAAATCCAAGGTTTTCGATTAGCACGTCTGATCGATTTTAAGAACAAGTATTGTCTTTGCTCTAAGTACAAATTTTATCATCGTATAAATGTTTCTATTTTATTCATTTTTCATTTTACCGATAACTATGTTTAATAGAAATGTTATTAATATATAACATATAAATGTTCTTCGTTTTGCTCAAACAAAATGATAAGAAATATGGTTTCTTTGAAAACTTATATTTTCTACAATGGATTCATAATGGGATTAATGCATGAGCAAAATAAATTTATTACCCTAAGGTCTACATAAGCAGCCAGTAATTAACAAACTTAGTAGACAACAATCTTTATCAACATATCGTTCTATTTTTTAAGGTACATTTGTTTATGATATACATATATGTAATTATGTCTACATGTATAAAGATAAATGACAGTTTTTAAACAAAAAAAAATGCATATGCTCAGGTGGATATTCATTCCACTTCGTGTTCGTTTTATCAATTTACACCGAGAAATCGTATAAATATTAGATACCGTTACATGGAAGTTAGTAGGTCATCACATTCTTAAGCAACATCAGTAAGTAACTGGTGCTTTAGGAAGCAGGTTAGCTTGCCATACTATTCTTACATTTAATACACGAGAAGTATATTAACAATTTATTCTTTTCAACATCAAATTTCATTTTGAAGTTTTGAACAAAAATTGTGTTATTTCCAACACGCGTGTGTATATGGTTCAAATTGTTAAAACTTCACTATTGCAATTTTAAATTTTTATAGGAATTTGTGGAATCAAAAAAAATCTTAATCGCCATGCAGAAATTCGTCTTTCTTACTTTCCTCGCGGTTATTGCAATTGTTCTTGCAGCACCTCAGCCTGAAGAACCAACTGCTACCTGCAGCCCATGGCTGGGACTCGTAAGTTTGCTATAATAATTAAGCTTTAATAGTGATATTTGTGCATTACGATCTTTTTGTTAAAAAATAAAATAAGCATGGTTTTAAAACAAAAAGTACTGAGAGAAATCTAATTTCTCGAACGAGTCCATTAAACAGCATTTTTTGTCTTCAGTGTCATACTTCTTCAGACTGCTGCCGTAACCTTGTTTGTCTGGGTTACTCAGCTAAGTGCGTTCCAAAATCAGGACTGATAATTCCTGGAGCAGATACCAGACCTATTGGTCCACCACCATACCCACCAGCTCAATAGAATGTTGTCGCTCAATAATAAAACCATATTTTATGTTTTAATTTTCTGCAAGCCAAATGTATTATTATGATTTGTTCATATCTAAAATATATATTAATCATCAAGTGTAGTCGTATGACGTTATGAAAAACTTTAAAATAAATAAGCTTTAAAGAGAAGAAAGTTTTTATTCATTAAAGTATCTTTTAAAATCACAATATGTTTAAACAAAATAAATAATACTCGTTAAATATATGATTACAAATTATAAAATATTTAAAATATTGTGTACGAACTTATATTTCATTTTCTGTAAATATGCAAATACACCCAAATAACCGAATTTTCCATCGATATTTAGAATATTACTCCTATCGAATCTTTCAGGTATATTTTTATATGACAAAAAACTAGCCAGTTAATTATATAAAACCGTTAAGACGATGAAACATAAACGCTTACTCATCAAGCAACACAATAACAATACGATATAGTCTAATACATGATGATAAATAAAAATGATAGTGTTATTTCTTTCTACGTCTCTCTTTCTCTCTTTCTCTCTCTCTTTTCTCCGATTATCGTCACGAAATAAAAGAGCAATAACAGTGTGTGACTCGATTTCTTCCTTTGTTATTTCCTGTCAAGCGAATTAAAGAACAAGAGGGCTTTGTGGAGAGATCAATGGAATGTACGAAGCGTGCAATATGCACTCGATAGAATATCGGTGCAAAAGGCAAAAGGCACTTGCCTGTTTCATACCGTACCGGTGCAGAAAGTGAAGATTTACAGTCGATATAAAAATCTCGAGGAAAAATACAATTTTCATCCTAGTACCCCGATGATCTATAGCGATCGACAGATAACGGTCTACAACCTAATCGTTCTCTTTTCTAATTTCATTATACTAAAAAAAAAAAACTGTACATTATTATATGTAGATAGAATAACAAGCTAATGAAAACGACAACGTGAAAATTTTTGTATAAATGAACACGATAAAAGAAATAAGATAATATAGTCGATTTGGAATTGAAATGACGCAAGAGTTCAAACTCGCTTATAAATGACTCACATATGTATATATGTTTCAAGGAAGCCGTTAAAAATTCGTAAAGTCGCCGTTTCTCCTACTTCTACTGTGTATGTATATATATATACTTCATATATAGTATGAACAGAACGAACGAAGTAACGTAGTCGAGGTCGAACTCTCGAGAAGACATCTCTGTGATAGAATCAGTGCGTAGTTTACATTTGTTTTTATAGAAGACATAAACCCTTTGTAAGTATCAAGTTAAAGAAATTAAACTGTCTAATTAATTTCGCGTATTGAAACTAGTTACTATATTTATTGTACATCAATTGTTTCGTTAAATAGAAGTGAAGATTTTTATTAAAAGAGAAAATCTTTCGTGTTATATTATATTTTGTTGAAAGAATCGAGATGCCGTAGTGACATACTTTCTCTTTACATACTCGCACGTATACATATCCGAATAATCACCTTTGCTTATTCCAATAGCTACGTAACGACGAATAAACGTTTTAAAGTGGATTAAATGGTATACACGATCGACCGTGAGTATATAGTCTTTAGTCGTTGGATCCTTTATTCAAGAACGAATCAGCCCGACCGGTAATGATTCATTTACTTACACACTTTTATATTCGTTAATATGGATCTTATGTATTTTCCTTTTATATGGAAGTGTATGTATACGTTGCGTACGCCTGATTGTTCGGTGTTTTCAATGAATATTTCTTTTGATCTTTGAACCTTGAATAAAATTCCTTGTAAAAAAGATTAATGTCATAAGTACCTAAACAATATTGCGACTATTTCATTAGCGAAATAAATAACATTGCATAATAATAATAATAAAAAAAGAAATGAATTTTCAGATATTAATTACGTTTTATAATATTTGTTATAGAATTCCGAGGAAACAGCAAAGATGTCGAAGTTCATCCTCTTGGTTTTTGTAACTCTTCTTGCCAGCACACTTATCGTAGCTGCTCCCGATAAATCAGTCTGCGGTCGACACGGTGACCCCGTCAGTAGACATTTACATACTGCTTGTTTTCTTGCTATGTGATCGTTTCTCGTGATATTCCTCCTTTTCTTTAATCTTATGATACTTTTTCGTTTATTTCAAATCATACATTTTATATTTATATATATATATCAATATTTTTTTCATGTAATGCCCTTGAATTTGTATTTCTATGTTTATATTAAGAGAAACGTTTCAATTGAAATAACATACAATTAATTATTAATTGAAATATAGATAGTGTTCTCCTTTGTTGATCATTTGACTCGTATTATCGACATTTTACTGTATATACGTACGTACTATGTACTCAAAGCTAAGTCACGAATTAGAAATTCTAATCGTGAGAACTAACCACATTCGTATGTTTTAATAAGGTTTAGACTTTTGTATTTGATGATAATCGTATATTGTACTTTTGTCATGTAAATGTTCGTTGAATTATTTTATCGCTACGAATGAAATTCGATTCTGTTATTATACGTTTATTGTGCAAAAAGACGCGATAAGAAAAACATTTAATTCTTTCTTTCTTGTGTAAATGACAATAAAAAAAAAAGATTTTTTAATTATGAAACGAGAGCAGAATATATAAATTTTATTGAAATTATACAGTATATATATCACTAGATGTTGAAGATCACAAGTAAGAAAGTAATATATTTTAAATGACCCTGATTCTTTTTACATAATTTAGTAATAATTATAATTGCGTTTAAATTAATATTTCATTGTTTACAGTGCGTAGTTGATCGTGAGTGTTGCCAAAACATGAGGTGCCATGGATATGCGCATAGATGTCAAGTTATTATCACCTCCGAAGAACTAATGGCGCAAAGAGAAAAGATTTTAGGCAAAAAAGGAAAATCTTATTGATCAACTTTTTATCTTCTTCTGATCGCTCACTGATGATGACGGTCGAAAAGAAAAATAACTTTTTTTTTTTTTTAATATATATTTACATAGATAAAGACAATTACTGAAACAATATTAAGTTACAGCATGATTAAAATGTAAAATTAAATTATTTTTGGAAATAATGAAATGGAAATAACTATAGAAATGTATAACCTGAAAAATAAATATTTTTGATCGTACGTATTTGAAAGATCTGCACATTAAAATAATTCATTAACAAGTATCGATAATGCAATGGAAAATTATATGAAAGGATAATAGAAAAATGACTGACACGAGTCATATCGATCTAAATTTTTGTACGAAATGATAAATACGTATTCGTGTATTTCCTCACAAGAAGTTGGAAATGAAGAAAGGAAAAAAATGAAAAAAGGAAACAAAAAAAAGGGAAAACAAAAAAGAAAGAAAGAAAAAGAGTAGGAAGCAGACAGATTTATCGCTAGAAAAAATTCGCCGGATTTTCTCGAATCACGTAACTCTTCCCAACGTTTCTCGTCATTCGCCCTAACTATAGTTATGCTACGGTGAGCATTCAAATCCGCTATCTCCTATCTCGGTTTACCGTACGCTCGTTAAAAGGCGTACCTTCGTCCGATAAAAAGACTTAGGTGCTATATAGCGAGCCGCCACACGGACTAAAAATCCCAATGAGCTCGACATGTTGCCTACGTGCGAAAGACAGGTAGACAGTCGATGTATATATGTGTGTGTGTGTATGCGTGTGTTGTATACGTGTTTATATGTATGAGAAAGAGAAGGAGAAAGAGAGAGAAAGAGAGTCGCTTTAATTGCATCGACTTATCTCTTGATAAGCTTCAACGTAGAACCTTACCATATGGTAGATTCGAAATCATCGCTTTCGTTGACGATTTCCTTCATCTACAACTATCTATGCTTATGTATTTACTATACATATATATATATGTATACTATATGTGATATATATCTTTGAATCTAAATACGACGAAAACACAACGTATGTTAACGACAACACGATTGCCACGGCGTATTACTGGTTTTCGTTCCAAGATTGTGAAAAGAAGATTCGAATTTAACGAAACACGTCGATCGAATATATTCTATTTCTTTATTATATCATTTTTTCTTCTTCTTTTGTTTAAATATAATTTATCACACATATGTTAGATTTTTGTTTTCCACGCAAATTAGATATAAAAGATATATCGTTAATATTGTATTAAATAGTACGTATTTATGAATAATTAATAACGAGATGAAATAAGTTTTATAATTATTAGCTTTTAAGAAGATAAAAAGAAATAAATTTTCGCGACTTGGATTATTGCGATCGTATAATAATAAGTTCGTTCATTTTATATCCTCTTGGGTAGTGCATATAATCGACGGAAAGACGAGAGAGAGATCTTTCTCGTTTGATTAAAAATTTCCTCGGAAAAATGTTGAACGTTGGTGAGCGAGCGTCTAACAGCAGCACTTCGAACGGTCGAGGAGCTTTTCAGAGATTTTGGAAAGTAGCTGGACTTTGATTCAAAGACCAAAAGCTTCTTCCACTCGTTATACGACATTTTCATTGTGTTTCAATCTCATTAGCGCCGGCTTAAAGTTAAGCACCCCGACTCTTTTACTTTTGGCTTGTCCGCTGTTCGTTGACCGCCATGAACTTTTTAACGGACGTTCGTTCGTCTTTTCTTCTGAAGGTATGTAGCTTATAGAAAGAATATGAAATATACGTAATGTAAAATAGAAGGAATATAATATATATATATAATGCAGTAGAAAAAAAAAAATAAAAGACGAAATCGTGGAAGGGTTTGTTCAAAGAAGTTCGCTAGAAAAAAAGAGGCCAACTTTTCTGAGAGAGTCATTAATTAAATCGATCGTTCCGTCCGCCCTTAATATTCGTAAAGAGAATATAAATATAGAAATTCAATCGCGTTTTTTCTTTTAACTAGATCTTAGGATATTCCAGAATAACTTTTTTTTTTTATCGATCTTTTATAAAGGAAGTAATTATAAACGAAAAATTGGTAATAACGATAATGTGATTTAACTATTTTCTTATGAATTATGTTGGTGCAATAATGTTCACGAACAAAAGAACATATAGAACAGTTACATTAATTTTTTCATTCATCTCTTAAAACGAAGGACTGTTCGGATACATTGTTTCTAAGCACAACAAATAAACGTGTACGTAGTTTATAAACTACGGCAATAAATCGGCCACAAAAAAAAGGTATTTTTCGGGGTCGGTACTCTTTGTAAGCTGATTGCTTTTCTCCACATTTTTCTTTTCATTTTTTTTTTTTCTTTTTTTTCGTTTGTACTTATTTTAACGAGGCAAAAGTAATATTATTATACATAAGGAATCGTTTTCGTTTTGAATGGGATAAATAAAAATGAGATTCTTCTCCTAACAATAATATCGACGTTATTTCACATCAATTATACTAACTATCACGATTACAATATTTGAAAACGTCGATAACACGAAAAGAGTCCTATCTACTAGCGCTCAAGTAAAGGCGTCACCCTGCAAATATTTGCTCCGTGTCCCTTATCTCCCTCCAGCTTAATTGCCATATGGTATCCCCAGGCACGACATAAGGTACCTTTCTGTCTTACGTGGATGTTACAAACACACCTACTTTTTTAAGATATAATAATAATGATGATGATAGTCGATATGTTAAATCAATGCTTACGATTTTAACATACTAACTACATATGTCTTACCTTTTTGTTACTTACATATATGCTTTTTTTCTATAATTAATCATTTTTATTTGATAGGTAATCATTTATAACATAAAATAATAAATACTTATTATTTGACACACGAATAAATCGAATTTTGCAATTTAAACAGATGAAGCAATTAAAAAGAAATTTGATTAAATTTTATCTATTTGACAATCATATTTGAAGATAACAAGAAAGAAAATAAGAATAATAAAAAGTAGAACGGCAAAACGAGAATGAAAAAGAAAATAGCCAAAAGGTTTGTCTTCTAAGCGTCGACTTGCGTCACACTTCTTCCAAGCGACACGGTGTCGCTTCTTTTATCGCGAAGCGCGAAGGTGTGCACACAGTATAAGAAGAAGAAGAAGAGAAAAAAAAAGAAAAAGAAAGAAAAAAAAATAGAAAGAGGAAAAAGAAAGTAAAAAGAGAATAACGAAACGGGTGGACCGAATCGCATTCAGAGGAAATAAACGGGCGCCATCGACGCACTTGAACCGGCACACCAGTCGTCCTCGTGCGAACAGGTACGAACTCGAAGAGCTATACGATGTTGAGACTCGGGCCTGGATTTGGGTAGGTTCGAAAAAAAAAAAAAAGGAAAATATACCAGGAAGAAGGAGAGGAAGAGCAGGTTAAAGGACAGAGAACGAGAACGAGAACGAGAAAGGAAGAGAGAGAGAAGCGGAGACAAACGGTAAGCCGAGGGAAGCACTCGAGCTGAGTCGAGTATCTCTCTTGGAGGTTCCTTTCAAGTTCTTCAGCGATGAGGCGGTGAGGCAGGTCCCGCGAGTCCTTCAGCGCTTTTAAGCTCGTTCTCGTAAGAGAACAAGAAGGTAAAGCTGAAAACCAAGAGACACGTTGATTCTTGCTGCAACGAGAGAGAGAAAGAGAGAAAGATAGTGAGATATTGGGAAAAAAATAAAGATACGAAGAGAGAGAGAGAGAGAGAGAGAGAGGGTGGGATAGATTGCAGAAACGGATGGATGGTATAGGAGTCAGGCCAAGAAGAGAGTAAAAGAGACGAGAAGAGAGAAGAAGCGGAGAAAAGCGAACAAAATGCTGGCCAAGTAGGCGGCCCGTGCCCATAAACAGGCGCGCGGCACAATATGAAAACATTGTCGAGGGTAAAGCCGCTAGGCATACAGCAATGTGCTGAGCTTAGCTGAGCGCGTCCAAGCGCGGAAGTGTAAGTGGAAACGCGGCGGGCACTCGTAAGCCCGATCTCGCGCTCGATCTCTCGCACTGCCACGTCAGGACGTCAGGATTTCAGCTTGCCAGCTCTCTATATAGCTCTTTCCCTCTTTCCCTCTTTTTCTCTTTCTCTCTTTCTCTCTTTTTCCTGCTTATTCACTCGCTCGCTCGCTCGCTCGCTTGTTCGTTGGGATTCGCACGGCCCCGAAAAGTGCCTCTTCGCGGCCCTCCGTAGAGAAAGGGGAAAAAGGACACCCCGAACAACTCGGAATCCGAAGGAATAGGCAGATTTTTTCAGCCCAAATCCCCCCTCGGCCTCGCTCCCACCCCATTGCTTTTTCTACTCGGTTTGGCGTTAATAAACCAGTTGGTACTCGCTATCTTCTCTTGTCTTATTGGAACTCTAGTTTTTGATTTAACAAACGTATATACAATGTTTTAGAAAGAATTGTAATTATTATTTTTTTTTTCTTTTTTTCTCCATCGAATTTAATTCGAATTTAGATCGTCGAAGAACACGAGAAACTATGAGCGACGCATGCGCGATAACATTCAAACTTCGGAGTCGATTATTATCGATGTAACTTTTTATCGGCTTTATCAGTTGGAGAGAAGAAACAAGATAAGCGTGTGAGATATTAAAGGTAACATAAGATATGAGAAAATGAAAGAGCTATCTCACATGACGTATCATGGTTTTCTATTGTACGTATGCTAGCTAGAGCTTCAGGGGGTGACGAAAACGCAACCTGTAATGCGGAAAGACAGGATGGATGAAAAAGAAAAGGGCGTAACGTAGTCGCAAGTAACGATGGAATACACGTAGAAACGTTGGCTACTTATAAAAGAGGGAAATGGGACTAGCCATTTGGGGCAAACTACCCCCGAGTAGACTCACGCGAATGATCTTATCAGATTCGAGCTCCCTGGCTCTTAGTTTAACATAGAAAGTACGTGAACTCGCGCGCACGCTCTCTCACATTGCGGGAAGAGACGAAGACTATCTCGGCTAGCACAATTGATTTCTTGCATTCGTTATTTCCCTGAGAGCGGACACACCGCTGCCGTTCGATGACTTTCCGCAAGCTCCCTAGTTGATATCGCGTCAATTAAGTTTATCATAAAATATTAATGAGTCAGCGTACAACCTATCTAGATCCGCTCGACGCGTTTACAAAAAAGAAGACGATTTTGAAATCAAGACAGGTCCCTTAGGACGCGTAGCGATCGCGATAATGTCAAAACCTGCGTGTTCTATGTA